ACAGCAGGCTGGAAGCTCGTCCAAACCTCCTGTGCACAGCAAAAATAGTGTTCCTCGGCGTGAAGGAAAGATTGCGTTAGTGTCCTCGTCGAAACCTGCATCGTTAAAATGTGCTGTGTGTTCGGGTGCTCACCCGCTAGCCGAATGTTTAACTTTCAAAGCGTTATCGGTTGATGAGCGGTATAAGGTCATATGCACTCATGCATAGGCGATGCATGGTCTGTTTCGGTGAAGGTCACATGTCTTTYAAGTGTCCTTYCTCTTGCTCTGTCTGTAAGCGACGCCATCATGCACTACTTCATAGGGAACCTAACCCGAAGAAGAYTAGTCCGCCAGCTGCTCTGCTAGGTCGGCAACCCACTCCTACAGTACTGTTAGGAACTKCTGTGGTACATGCTCGAGATACCGTCGGGATCTGCCGTTCTGTTCGTGTTCTAATAGATTCCGCGTCGCAAATAAGCGCGATCACTTCTGCCTGTTGYGATAGGTTGGGATTACAGCTGTCGCGTTGGACGGTACCTGTCACTGGACTGTCAGGGCAAAGGGTTCCGGATGTGCAGGGTGTGGTCCAGCTGACGATCCAGCCTCGTGACAAGATTACTCCGGCCATCCAAGTGAGACCTTGGGTGCTCTYCTCGATCACTTCCGATATGCCGGCCCGACAGTTGCCAAGTCAGGTTCGGGCAAGATGTAGTCACTTGTCGCTTGCCGATCCATATTTCGATAAACCTGCTCCGGTTGAATTACTTATTGGCGCTGATATATTTCCACAGATTTGGAATAACCAGAGTAGCTCGCTTGGTCCAGGGTTCCCTTCAGTTTCAGTTTATAGTTCGATATTTGGTTGGGTCCTGATTGGCCCTGTCCAGGCACACCCGGATATAGGTGCGCAATCCATGTTAGCCTCCTCAGAATCGTCGATGGAGACTATGATCGAGAAGTTTTGGTTGGTTGAAGAWCCTGAGGCCGCTCCGCCTCAATTTACTGAAAATGGTCAATGTGAAGAGCTGTTCCGCTCCGAGATGGTCCGAGATTCTAGTGGTCGGTTTTCTGTCCCTCTTCCCTTCCGCTCGGGTCGATCATCRGAAGCTTTTCCGGGTTCTCGACAGGTCGCTCTTAACCGTTTCTTAAACTTGGAAAAGAAGTTGTCTGCGGATAAGATCTTGCACAGAGCTTATTGTAAGTTTATGACCGAATACGAGGAGCTGGGTCACATGTCTCTCGCTGAAGGCGAAGGTCAGTACTTTATCCCTCATCATGCCGTACGGAAGGTCGAGGGGGATGAACTCAAGTTGCGTGTGGTCTTTGATGCGTCCGCCAAATGTCATTCCGGGATCTCTCTCAATCARTGTTTGTTGGTTGGTCCGAAGTTGCAACAGGATATTGTTGATGTCTTGGTCGGATTYCGGATGCATAAGGTTGCATTCACTACAGATATATGCAAGATGTATCGGCAGATCGAAGTCTTACCGCAATACCGGGGATACCAGTATATCCTTTGGAGGGATTCCCCGCAGGTGTCGGTGAAAGAGTATACCCTCAATACCGTTACCTACGGGGTGAATAGTGCTCCCTATCTCGCCTTATGAGTTCTTCGGTTTATTGCTGACAACGACTGCGAAGCTCTTCCAGAAGTCAAGGCCGTATTATACAACCAAACATACATGGACGACATCTGTGTTGGGACAGATTCGTTGGACGCTGCTAAAATGCTCCAGTCCGACTTGATTAAGACGTTCGCCAGATCCGGCTTACAACTGAAGAAGTGGGCCAGCAATAATCCGGATTTATTGTCTCATATACCAGCGGAAGATTGTTCAAGAGCTCCCTTGACCTTCGACCAGGACGATGCATCACAGGTGCTAGGTATGCGTTGGAATCATGGAAAGGACTACTTCTCATTCAACACCAACAACTTTAAAATGATTTTAACTAAGCGCGGTGTACTCTCTATGATTGCTAGGATCTTCGATCCACTAGGTTTACTCGCACCGTCGATCTTTTATGCTAAGGCGTTTATGCAGCGTGTGTGGCTCGCACACATCGGATGGGATGAGCAGCTCCCGGCAGACTTGGCTGAAGAGTGGACTGATTTTTATCACTCGTTAGGATGGCTCACGGGAATCGAGATC